CGAGTTCCAACATTTTTTTTTTGTGTGTGTGTTATTTTTGCTGTATGTCTTGAGTTGTCATGGAGAAAAATATTTTTCTATCCACGAGCACAAGGAACTTTTCGACGAAACTTTTATCGACACGTTGTAGCTGCTGAATGTATAAATGGCCATTTAGCATTTCATTGTCTTTTAAGAACTCTAAACGAATAATACCCCGACGCTCCCACCACACACACATCACCTTTCGTCTATGGAGCTCAGCTTTTGGGGTCGTTTGTGAATATTTGTCCTTGTTAATGCACTGCCTTTTGTATTGAACATTGTCGTGCGGAACTCATTTTTCAGCACCTGTTATGATATCTTCAAGGAACAGTTAGTTGTGATGAGACATTCTTTATTACAGGTGATTTTCAATAAAGGGAAATTACGTCTTACTCGACTTATTACTCAACTTAATACGATGCAAGATTTATCAACGCCAAGAAAATAAAACTGCTTCTTTCTACCAATGTCAGCGTTCAAGACCGGACAAAGGCCAATATTTAAAAAGTAAGGTAAGCAGGTAGACACACTCTTCCTATGGCTGGCGTAATACATTCTTTCTCATCGTTCCCTCTTGTTTAACTTTTTACCATGCAAAGCGACGCTTTGTCAGTAACATGAAAAATATCGACTGCATATTCAAGGGACTGAAACAAATAATTATTTCTATAAAGATCGCTTTTCTATTTTCTTTTGCTGAACAAGTCGAGTCGACCTTTACTTCTGTAATTCCAACCATTTCTGACCGTATTTTCTCACCCTTGACTCGATTTTACTCTGGACAAAAAAGCTTGTTGGATTCACGATCTCGAGATCCGTAAACTATTAAGTGTCGTAAGTGAGGACACTGCCTCACGTACTGTAGTCGCAATAGAAATGGTATTTGCTGGGCAGGATAACCGGACGGAGCCTGGCCTTCTCCAGGCTGGTTTCGAATTCCATGTATTTGCTTCGTTCAGTTAGACTGAGAGGTCAATTTTTAACTGAAATGTCGATGACAAAGCGGAAGTACGTAGTTGACAAAGTGTTGACTTTTTGAGATTTTATCGAAGTTATTTAAGGAATATGAGGAATAAGCATTTTTTTTTAAAATCCGTTTCTTACTTAATAACCCAATTTTTGTTAATGTCTTCTATTAAATATCTCCAAACAGATAAAACGGTGTGTATTGATAGTATTCGGATACAATTGAAATACATTTTTAAAATAAATTCACACATTCTAGGTTCAAATAGAAATTGAAGTATACCGAATGAATTTAGTTTCCACAAAAGGCCAACCCTAATCCTAGCAAAGATCTTCTTCTATGTGCCGTGTCTCTTCAGGATGTTGGCGATTATGGCCCTCCACAATTTCCTTCCCTTTGAGTGCTTAATAAATGTTGTCTTTTTGTTATCACTCCTAAACCCTGTTCTGCCATCGATTTACAAAACTCGTTAGGTAGGTTATGCGCTGATTCCCTTTGATCCGCTTGCCTTCAATCAGTCCTGTGGGTGTCAAATTTTCCAAGCCCTCTTTCCTCATTATGTGCCCTAGAAATTTCAACTGTCTCTTTCTGATTCTAAGTATAAGTTTCCTTTCCATTTTGTTTAAAACTTCTTTGTTACTCCCATGTTCAGTCCATTGTATCCTCAGCATCCTTCTGTAGAACCACATTTCTATTGCCTCAACTTTATTCTTCATCTGTGCGGAGATGGTCCAGAATTCACTTCCCTATAGGAGGACTGATATTACATAACAGTTCAGTATTCTTTTCTTTGTTTCTAGCGAAATTTTCTTGTTTCCTAATATTTTGCTTAGCTTTTAGAAAGCATCTTTCGATATTCCAAGTCGCCTTCGGCTTTTGGTGTCGCACTCTCCGTTCTCACAACGCGTCTCATCAGATTTCCGTAATTGTTCAATAGATAAGAGTTCGTTCACATTTAAAATGCTTATTTGCAGATTATAAATGAATAATAAACACTAGTTTCCCATGCGGCATATACGCTAATTACATTTTCCTATTAGGAAATTCTTTTATGATCTGAAGGTGTGGACTGCTATTTGAATTACTGAAGTTGGTAAATGCCACGAATTCCTCACTATACCATCAAAATGGTAATGACACTTCCGACTGCTTCTCTTATAAATTCATATAAATATATGTGATAGGCAATGTATTTGGTAAATATTAGAATAACCAAATAAATAGATATTACATCAACACATCGTTGCTACTTCTGTTGGTAGTAAATACGAAATACTTACAGCCACCAATAGAATTAAATAGGTCCATCTATCGTCCGGTTCACACACCTCCCGGAGGTTTGAACAGGAGTAGAGGTTTATCCCTTGTTTCTTGTTTAAGACTCGGTTTCCAGTTCCCTGTAAAGTCTGCTTAAAATTTATACTCCTAGCGTCTGTGTCTGAACGCTGGACAGTTTAATAAATAACTATGGTGTGTCTATTATGCGTATTGGTTATCGTAGATCATTATGGCTGTGTAATGTGATATCCATCCTCTTTGTTGGCAGTGAATGTTGGATAATTTTCCCAAAGATGAGGAAAAAACTACAAGAAGCAGAAACGTGGTTCTACAGAAGATTACTGAAAACTCCATGGATGGTGTTAGTAAGCAACAGGGATGTCTTAAAGAAAATGGCCACAGCAAGAGATATTCCACTCAAAATCAGGACAAGACAGCAAAAATTCCTTGGACACATAATGAGAAAGGACAGTTTGGAAAACTTAACCCTCACGGGGGCATAATGAGAGTAAGAGAGATAAGGGAAGGCAGCAAGCCACTTACCTGACGAGCTTATGTGGAAAAAGGGATGGCGGAACGCGGAGTGGTAGTTCTTAGCAAAGGGAGAAAATCCCCTAAGAGCTATACCAGATAGAAAGTTGTGGAGAGCCATGATCGCCTATGTCCTGAAGGGACGCAGCATATTCATTCGATTGAGAGCTAGGGAAATAGGGGAAGGCGACGAGCTTGTGGGAATGGATGGTGGAACAGAGTCGAGGGCATCTTAGCAAAGCGAGAAAAAACTGCTAAGAGTGACCGGAGATAAAAAGTTGTAGAGGCCCATGATTACCTATGTTCTGAACATATAAGAAGGAGTGAGTTCGATCCCCGCTGAGTGTTATGGAGACTCAGCGGGGATCGAACTCACCCTTCTTATATGTTCAGAATATAGGGAATCATGGTCCTAAGTTTTCGCCAAAACTAAGGAAAGTTTAAAATAACTATCATGGCTTGAACCAACATCTCGATCTGCGGTTGCTCTTCTGGTAAAATGTTATTTTTTTCCAGGGTGTGTGGGGGGGGTAAGAGTCAAATCCCTTCCCGGAATTCATGTAGTGACGTCCAAAAACCGGTGTTCGAACCAGTGTCAAAACCATGGCCGCAAATGCAGATTTCCTAGACAGGTTGTAATATTGGCGCAACACAATCTTCCTGTTCCAGGTTTTTGTCATTTTGATTTACAATAAATATTAATCAGTCCGCGATTTCAAATACTGATTTTCAAGACCCACCCCACTTGAGAAATTGACGCAACGCAATCTTCCATTTCTCATTTCTCGAACTGTGGCGTTGTGCCGGACTAAGCTTAATTGAGTAAATATCAAAACGACTCTTTGCTGACTGCGATCAGTCTACCTACATGATCTTCTTTTATGTGCCGTGTCCCTTCAAGACGTGGGCGATTATGGGTCTCTGTAATTTTCTACGCTTTGTAGCTCTCAGCAGTGTTTGTTTCTTTACTATCCCTCCCACTCGCCGTCCTGCCCTCCGTTTGCAGAAGCACGGTTTCCCCCTATTTTCCTCTTGTCTGCAAGATCTCCTACGAGTATTAACCCTTTGCCTGTCCAGGACATTTTCCTGTGTAATACCCAAACGTTTATGTTATCAGATTCATAATTATTGCAAGGCAACTCAGTTCCTTTGGCAAACAGAATATCCTGACATATAGTGTTTCACATAATAAAAACCTGTGCATCACATGTGATGTACAGAACGTATAAATCATTATTTACACTACGCTCTGGGCATCACATGTGATGTACAGAACGTACAAATCATAAGTTATTTGCACTACGCTTTGTGCATCACATATGATGCAAAGGTTATAATCATTGCAGTAAAGTTGAAAAATAGATGTCTTTCATTTGAGACCTTACATTATCAATCAAGCGTCCTGTGGTCATGTATGATCTACAAAATATTAGATTCGGCCTTTCCTCAGGCATCCTGGTCAATAATAGATTCTTTTCTTAAGCATCCTTAGTTTTAGCACTCTTTTAAAATCATGGCTCGTGTGCACCCTATATGATACACTGATGGGAAAATCACATGTCCTATGCATCATATATCATATATGATGTGCAAAACAGACAAAGGCGTACATTCTTCAAGCCCTCTTTCCTCATAATGTATATCCAGAAATACCAACTGTCTCTTTATTCCGTGTCTTTTTTGTTTGTTTGTTTTTTGTTTTTTTTTGTTTTTTTTATCCCATCTTCCTCAAAATCCTCCTCCTTGTCCCTAAGTTCTATATCAGTATCAATTCTATAAAAACTAATTTCAGTTACCCTGTGTCCTTCTTCTCTTCATCTGTCCGGCTATCATAAAGAAGCTTATCAAAGTTTATGATTTCGAAACAAAATCTTACTTAACTGTCGACACACCAAAATCACATTGGCAATTTTACATGCGAATTTGAAAGCCTACCGTAGAGTAATGGTTGGTTTTGTAAACTCTTCCTAAATGTAGTGAAATCATTTCTTACTCGATGACCCAAAGTTATGATCTTGCGTTGCACTGAGCAAAACGGTCTATTGTTATGGTTGAGGTCGATGCGTTGGCGGTGTTCGTGGCAATATTCTCTGTGAATAAAAAAAAGCCCTTTTTGACCTGGGTTCAAATATCAACCGCTGGCGCCGATTAGTAATGCACCTCTATACCAGCAACCAAACAGGTTTCTAAAAACACATACATAGAACACACTGAAAGAGATAGATAGATAGATAGATAGATAGATAGATAGATAGATAGATAGATAGATAGAACACACTGCTATCTATAGATAGATAGATAGATAGATAGATAGAACACACTGCTATCTATAGATAGATAGATAGATAGATAGATAGATAGATAGATAGATAGATAGATAGATAGATAGATAGATAGATAGATAGATAGATAGATCAAGTTTACGTTGTAGGTGGAATAATTGTGTTCTGCTGTTTTTCAACTGAGACGCACCAGCCAACCTTAAAAATAAGCGTTGGATTTTTTTCCCTCGCTTCGAGTACAATAATGATGGTGGGAAGACATAATTTCTTCTACCATTAAATACTGTTTATTATTCTATCTGTATGCGTGAGTGGATGTACATGCAAGTTGTGTGGAGGGGTGTAATGAATTCAAATGGAAACTATTAATGCAAAGTAAACTTGTTTAATTGGCGAAATTACGATGTCTCGCCTTTTCAATATCATCCATTAGCAATTAGCTCGTCCTGTTCTTTTCGTTTGCTGCATAGGCTTGAAAATGGTTCTTCACCTCTTGGGCAAGAGCCAGACATTCAATGTAGAAAGTACCAGCAACGAGAAAAATTCTTGGAATATTCTTAAATATTGTTGTTAATATATATATATATATATATACAAATGTAAAAGAACGAAGAGTAAGATTTCAGCGTTCAAAGCATTAATTTAAAACAGGGCTCAATACAAAAGTAGGGCCGTTAATATTTATTTATCATGCAGTGAACAACGTGCATGCTCTAATGTAACACTGCATCATATATATATATATATATATATATAGATATATCTGTATATATGTATCATAGTCTCAATCGATGCGAATATATATATATATATATATATATATATATATATATATATAAAGAAACGTTCATAGCAATAAGAAATGTTTGAATAAAAAGTCCATTTAAATATTAGTTGTTTACATTTCGGATACAAAAATGAAGCCCCACCAAGAGATGTGCATTTTTTAAATAGGTAAATTGAAATTTGCCTTATTCCGATGGTCTCCCATGACCAAATTGGTAACGGCATGCTTTGGCTATCCCATGATGGGAAAAGGTTCAATTACAGTCAGGATGCATATTTTTCTTTCATGGCATTTCTCATCCTAGGCCGCTTGTTATTAATTTCACAGTTCAAAAAGAAAAAAAAAACATGGATAGCAACTCAAACACAAGTACCCAATAAAATAAGGTTTATATTAATAAGAAATATGAATATATATAAGGATAATATGTATTAAGGATACACATTGCATTTTATATATACACATTATTGGGTTATTATAAGTACTTGTCGTTTACATCGTCTAAGTACACCGAGATAATTTAAATTCACAGTGGATTCTTTTTTTTTTTTTTTTTTTACTATTTTGGAAGGAAACTATTTAGATTCCTTACATATCATCAAATAAAGTACATCCAAAGTGAATTATTTCCTTTTATGATTCAGAAAATATAATTTTCAATTAAAAGAAATCATCTAGGCCTTTGTTCTTTGACAGACTCTGGAAATGGGATCAAAGTTTAAGGGATAACGTCATTACTTGTGGGCGTTTTTAATAATTTTATGCGTAAATTCATTCATTTTCTTTGACCAGAATTATTCAGCGTAGTTCAAAGTGAAAGAAAAAAAATGGAGGTTTTTCAAAGCAATTGCTTCTGTTGCTATGACAACAAAGTTGTTATCACGCCATCTGCAATTATAACATTGTACGACTGCCGAACAGACGTAACGGAGGCATGGTACCATATTCAGATCTCCTCCCCCACTAAGTAAATTCATCCCAGGACATTTTCAGTGATTAATCTTTTGGTGCTTCTTGGCTATTAGACCCAAGGAATTCTACAAGAATCGATTACACAATGTCTGACTTTATGATGCAAGTCAGTAAATATTAACGATGGTAATAAAATTTTCAGCGTGTACTTATTTTTATTACTTCAAACGGATTATAGTGAATACTCGTATTTGAAACAGACGCCCCATTTTATTTTTACAGTATGTATTGCTTATATCGGCCTGCACATTCGATAAATCTCTGCGCTCTCCGGCAGAAATCGAACCCGCGTCCATTTTTGTAGAAAAAAATAACGACGGTTTGATCGGATTTACCACTCGGCTACGAATATGGAAAATATACTGCATTAATAGCTGTCCTTATTTAAAAACATTATAATAACTTATGTTGGTTTTGTTTTATTTTGCAAGCTAAATGAAATATAAATGTTTATTTATGATTAAATACAAAAGATATTGACAACAGTAAGATATATTTAATTAATTTTAATATTAATATCCGGTGTACCGGAATAATTACCGTTATTAATTTACACATCTTTCTATCAGCTCCTTGACATCTAATCACCTTCAATAATCTTTCATTTATTCATTTGATTCACTTTTCTATACATTTTACTCGCCTAAGTTTTTATTGCTTTCAAAAGATCATTGTTGCTTGAATGTAGCTTTCCATTCTGATATATATATATATCTATCTCTTTTTAATGAGTGATCACAATTTTTATTTTATTTTATTATTTTGGTGTCTTTTGGAACTTTTTTTTTCTTTTTTTTTGCAAGATACGTCCCTTTTGTCAAATGTGAAGGAGTATTATTTTGCATTGCTTAAAGTCTTGACCTGTGTACCTCTTGAATATTTTCCAAACTAAACCCATTGTAATATTTCATCTTAGACAGGCATTTCGAGAATTTAGAAAACCATATTCAATAAAAAATGCTGATAAAATCTATTCAATTAATTCTTGTTAATATCTTCATTGTTTTCATGCAAAGAAGATATATTCGAATTATCACGGCCTGGCCAGAGATTATGGCTTAAGCAACTTTTGGATGATACATGTGAACCATGTTTTATTGTGGAATGGAAAAAATCAACACATTCTTTAATTTAAATAAACTGAACAAAACATGGAACAAACCATTACATCAGTTTTTATTGCTTGAATAATTTTCCATTGTTTTATATATATATATATATATATATATATATGTGTGTGTGTGTGTGTGTGTGTGTGTGTGTGTGTGTGTATAATTATTGACCACAACTCTTTTTTTAGAGATAAATATCTGAAGAAGCTGTGTGTTCAAGGAATTTCAGCTGTTTTTCCTAATTCTGAGGATAAGTCAAGGATGACCAAAACGCGGCTCGCGAGTCACATGCGGCGGCTCTTTGAGTCGTGGAAATGTCATATGCGGCGGCTCTTTGAGTCGTGGAAATGTCATATGCGGCTTGTGGAAATATGACATAACTCCTTAAAACAATCATCAGTCAAGATTTTGAAGGCATTTGGTATATATATATATATATATATATATATATATATATATATATGTGTGTGTGTGTGTGTGTGTGTGTGTGTGTGTGTGTGTCCTTTTGTGATTACTAAAACCAATACAAATTAATAGTTTAAAAACTGCATACATTAATAAATATTATTGCATACACACTAATATTTATATAACAATTTTGTAACAAAATGTGTATGTAACAAAACGTATGTGTAAATTTTGTTTTCATATCTTATGGCTCACAAACATCTGAACTTTATCGTATGTGGTTGTTACATGAAGCAAATTTGATCACCTCTGGTATAAGTCTTTTTTCTGTTGCCATTTCTTTAAGACTTCCTTACTCAATCCATCCAGGAATTTTTAGTATCCTTCTGTAGAACCAGGTTTCTGCTGCCTCTAGTTTTTTTTTTCCTTCATCAGTCGTGAAATTGTCCAATATTCACTGCCATGCAAGAGGATGGATAACACATAGCAATCTTTTCTTTGTTTCTAACAAAATCTTTCCGTTTCACAGCACCTGGCTTAACTTTAGGAATACTTCTTTCGCTAGCCCAGCGCGTGTTCGGATCTCGATGTCACTTTTTTCATTTTCCGTTAAAACGCTTCCCAGATATTTGAACATCTGCACCTGATTGATGTTTATATTTTCAACTCATAACTTGTACCTTGGTTTGGTTTTTTTTTTAACTCGCAAGCCGAAACTCATGATAAATTTATGATATAAATGTAAATACTTAACATTTATATATAATAAATTAGGATTATGAATTTTTTGTAGCCCCATGTTCATAAATCGATATAATTTTCTTCAAAAGTAATGAAAAAGGCATTATTTTGTTTTAGCTTTTGAGAAAGCCCACCGCCAAACCGATAATTTAATTTTACCATAAACGCAATGAGGGTAAAAATCAAACTATTTCAGAAGCTTTATTTTTCAATTTGTTAATGATGTAAATTCTACAGTACTTATGTATTTTTAAATGCATTTAACAGTTTATAGCTATAGCATAACATACAAACTTACAAATAAACAAAAACAAGTTCTAGAAGGTTCCATAAAGTTCTAAAAAGCTCCAGGACGTTCTAGAAGGTAACAGAAAGTTCTTAAAGGCTCCAGGAAGTTTTAGGAGGTTCCATAAATTTCTAAAAGACAGCAGAAAGTTCTAGAAAGTTACAGAAAGTCGTAGTACTACTATACTTTTATACGATTTCAGAAATTTCGTGTTGGTGTGACCTTTTAAACTGAATTAAACCTTTCATTATTTTCTAACA